TTTAACACAAGGTCCTGGGGACATATTGTGACATGGGAATTAGATGATGATCATATCTTATTCGACAATAACGAGGTAGCCTTAAATAGTCTAAGTCACTCACACATTTTCTGGTCGACAGCTTGAGCAAATATAGGCATGATGACATACAATCTGCCAGGTCACACGGTTTACCACAGGGTCCTTGAGACATATTGTGACATGGGAACGAGATGACTGCTACCTAGTTTAGCAGGAAGGTGTTGTAATTCTAGGTAATTCTCGCCATTGAATCTGCTGGAAATTAGTTTTGGGATCAATAATAGAATAATCGATACAATCGATTTTGGCGGAAAAAAACAACAAAAAAACAATGGTCTTATCGTAAGAGAGGTACGCCATGTACTACCTATATGTGGGCAACGGAAGTGCACAATTAGTTATTATATAGAATATGCAATCAACGCATTATCCTAAATAATCACTTTTACAACTAAGTAATGGTCCAGAACATGAATACATCCCTCAGAATATCTAAAACAGTTCTAGGATTTGCACGTCCTCTACTTACGATTGTCCCCAAAGAAAAATATATTTGTTTCTTTTTCAAATCTAGTAAGACGTGACAGGACAGCAAGGGACACATAATTGATTTTACGGGAGCCTCATGAGATTGATATTCGGATACAGACACGTCAATCTCGTAACTTGTGGCATCAGGAATACACATATGTGAAACACTACATTAGCAATCCCTTATGTCAAACAGGATATTTACCACTAATTGTGAACATTGTGATATACACCTGTACAACATACAACACCTGTCGATTACTGTCTTAAGCGTTTAATGCAAACTTCGTTTCATTATATAGATTTTTTCCACATAATAAAAACATGTCTTTCATGTATAGATAATATAATAATATAATATTTTCGAAAAGCAATCTGTCAATTTAGATGTTCCACTCATAATTTAATGATTGAAAAAGGAAAAATAAATAATTGAAAGAAGATACTTTGTCCATTTTGTAAAATATCTGTATACACACAGAGATCTACGAGATACGTATGTTTTATGGTCTGAGTGTTATCCAGTATACCAAATAAACTGATTTAAAGCTCCCATGTCCACACATAAATTTCCTCCTGGTATCGTCAATGTCTTCTTCGATACACAGTTGTTGCTACTTATTTCAAAAGTTGTGAATATTCGATCTTTGTTTCTATTCAAGTGCAGAACCTTACAGTTACAGCCCTTTGACCTTTCCTTCCGCATTCAACTGAAGCGCCGTCCTTTACTGAAATACTGTTCAAATCGGCGTTAAACCCGGCTCCCCATCTCACTCTACTTACAACAGCAGTCACCCCTGTTGGTGATGGTGACGGAGATGAGGAAGAAGTTGCTGCCGAGGTCGATGTCCATGTAGGGCGTTGTGTCTGTGGTAGCTGTTGCAAACGTAGTGTTGTCAACGGTGAAGTCGGTGCCAAATCCGCAATCTACGGCAAACTGTGGACCGTAGTTCGTGGAGCCGAAGGTGAAGACTGAGGAGGAAGAGACCTGTGACCCGACGACGGGGATCACAGCACCTGGGGGACAAACAATCACAGCTGTAGGTAAATCTCATCTCAAAACATATAAACCTATAGTTTCCTCTTTTCCTCCAAACACAGAGCATAGATGGCCCCAATGGTCAAAACAAATTTAAAGTTCGACGTGCAAAAGACAACAGGATTTACCTGCGCGTTCTGTTTCCTGGGTGATCAAACAAAGCCGTCACATAAACGGGTACAGTATGTTTATCTATTCATAAACAAATAATATGAAAGTATTCCAATTATGCGTTCAATTGTTCTGCTCTGTTCTTGTATTAAAAGGACAATGTACTTGTAAGTTTCTGAACATTTTTCTCAATACATTTAGCAAGAACTTGGACACCCGTGGTTGACAGGCAACTATACCCCTTGAAAAACGTTCAGCGGGGCTTACTGTATAGTTCCATCTAAAATAGCCATTTCTTTTTAACTGTATCTTGTATTCATTTTCTGTGACATTTCAAAGTGACAAATTCAAATTGTATGGAGAAACAGATATTGATGATCGAATAACATGTTTTGTAAGTGTTCCATGGCAATCTTTATTTGACACTATATCATTTGCTTCTGTCTCTTTGCTTCATATGAAATGAATATGATACAGTTATACACACTGCCACTAGTCCGTTAGTCCGAGACCAGTTCTAATCTGTACGGACTAGTTGTTTAATCCACAAATCTAGTTATTTCACATTACCAATAGTCCAAAATAAGCTGTGGGTATTTAGATATGACCAAAGATGTTTACCCCTGAGGTACCTGCGACCCTCGATTCTGTGGTAACGAACACAGTGTTCTTACAGCTACTTTGCAGCAGGTATTTGTGGTAATTTAGTCATAAATGAACATACCATATGTAGATAATTCCAAAGAATACATGGAATCTCTGGATATTTGAAACACATAAGGGTTCAAATATTTTTTTCATTTTCATGGCGGGCAAAAGATATTATGCACTTGAAACATTCAAATATTACTAGGCTGAAAACAGTCGTCAAAAGACTGCAAACTTAAGATCCAAAACACGTATCAAATACATCAACATTGACTAAACCATTTCGTGCCTGTTTCGTTTTTAGCCATCATGGTTGTATACTTATTTTGGCCCGGCTGTTTGCACACAGAAAAATTGAAAAGTACTTATGTATATGTGTGTCTCGATGCTTGTCGGCGACAATATACTTCTATAACATCTATGACTGAAGACACCTATCATTCCCTAAACATCAGCATTATATATAAACATTGTGTAGTATGTCAGAACAAAGCAAATTTTAGCATCATCCGTCTCTACGTGTATATAATATATGTATAACTTGGATACACATATAAGACTTGCAGTATAACGTCGACACCGAAAACTTCCAAATGAGATTTGGAAATTTACTGTTGAAAATTCAGTTGATACTTACCATGTATCTCAGCAACCCCCAACACAACCACGAACAGAGAGATGAGCAGCATTGTAGACAAACGGGATGATTTGTCAGATAGGGTTGTTGTCTCTATATTTATACCAAATATTGTAATCTGGACCAGGTGGAAACTACGTTTAATAAAGATTAATTAAACAGATGTTAGTTCTGATTAGTCTCGGTTACATAACACGTGTTCTGCCCTTTGATAAAATATTGTCCACATTGGTCTAGAGAGTGACTAATTAGTCTTGGTCACATAACATATGTGATACTCTGTGATAATATACTCCACGTTGCTCTAGGGATGCTGAACGGACTTCAGATTCAGAGTAGTGAAAGCTTGTATATATCCGTACTCGATTATAGATGGAGCAGGGCTGAGTGTGGCGTTATCGTTATCGATAGTCGACATCATACCACGGATATGTCTCTTGGTTATGTTAAGTGTCATTTATTATCCATATCATTTCCAATTTTCAAAGAAATATCTTCAGGACATTTTATAATAACTGTCAATGTCCAAAACCATCAACCGATCTAAAACTCTGCAAATTCATCATAGAGGGATGTTATAAAATTTATATCATATTTTCCTGGCACTGTACTTTCATTCATCGTGTACTTCAACACGAGTGTAAAACACTCTTCTTCTCTTTTTTTAAAAAAAAGTCTTGTGGTCCGTTATGACACCGCCTGATCCCTTCTGACCAGGACATTTAGACATTTGATGACATTACCTCGTCCGCTATGGCGCCGACGAGATCAACATGTTATTTGGCAGTATTACACAAATATCCTTTGTCCTTTTAATCGATTCAATGACTCTTGCACCTCGCTGTTTTACGCAAGCAGTGAAAGTGCTAAATCGAGACAGAAATGCCATTATCATAGAATTATACATTTTCTTGCTATGTTTAGTGGTTCATGAATTTGTGCTGATCATTTAGCTTGGGTAAATCCTTGTCGGTCAGTATTTATTGTATCTTGTACACATAAAGTAATTTGAGTCGGTTGGTTTAGTGGAAATGATAAACCACTGCACTCTGATTCTAGCGACACATTCAATCCGGAACTCCTACGGATATTTAAACAGTAACATGTTCATATGTTTCCTTCTATAAGAGAAGGCTACTTTCTCGTAAAGAAGTCTGTTTAAGTGGTCAGAGACTATATTCAGTGCATTTGGCAGATCATGTTTTTTATATAAGTTTCAATTGGCTAGTTACATTTGCATGTAACTAATTATCAGTTTAAATAAAAAATTATACATTTTGTTTCTTCTTGCGAAACTTTTTCCCCTTGATGGGTAAACCATAAACACTCAATTTTGTTATATGCCAATAGATAACATGTCATGGCCATGACATTAAATGAAAACATTGTGTTCTATAACTTCTTTTGAGTAGTATTTATAATATGTATGGACAAGATCGGGGACTTGGTGGATTGCATGTGCCAAATATTAATGTGTGGATGTTAATCACTGGATTGTCTGGTCCGAACTCAATCATTTTGCAGACCACCATGAATAGCTGGCATGTTGTCGAGGGCTGCCTTAAACAACAAACGACCAAGCAACCCTGATTGACTTATGTTTTGTAGGGTCCTCAGTTCATTATTGGTGTGCTAATTCAGCTTTCCTGCTGTTTTCAAACAGCCCACTGTAAGGCTACTGGAGGTGTGAGATTTTCTTATACAAAAAGCAGCCCTAAAGCCCGAATCAGGCAAAGATTAGGATAGGTTGATATTAGTGAGGATGTTTTTGGAAAGGCCATTATTTCAGTAGTCAAGGGAGGCTTAGACCCACATCTTAACAAGTCTTGGGCAGGACATGCTCCCCCATTTAGGGAATGCCTGATTTTTCAGTGATCAGTCATATAATTTCCAACACGACTTTGCCTTTCACACCCCATGGAATCTGTTTCATTTGGATACTTATTCTCTGGCCTTGAAGTTATATATCTTAATGAAGGTATGCTTAGGGTTCAGTGACAACAAACGAATCAATTCTTTGTACATATTTTATTATATTGTATTCAATGCATAAATAAATGGATGAGGAAGGCTTCCTAAGGCAGGTGAAAATATTAGACTAATTTCCCAACTACTGTCATTCTGTGGCAGCTTCGAAACTGTTGAAATGATGTACAGTTCAAACCTCTAGTAAAGCTGTATCAAAACTTTTATTTACACCATGTACAAAACAGACTTTGAATAAACATTACAAACAAAACGGGCATTTTTGTGGCCAAAAAAAGTATCGAAACTTAAATATTTATTCTGGCAGTGGAGAGGTAGTAATATTTAATGAAGCTGTCAATATTCAATTACAATAATAGTAATGTTTGTTACCACCATATTCATGCCTTTTAAGTGCATATATTGATCATGTTGAAGAACAGAACATTCACATAAAGCAACTTGATAATTTCTCACTTGGACCTCAGAGGAACATGTTGCTGAGTCAATAAAATCTGTATCATGAACTGAATATTCATAGCTTCATATCATCAAATTTCAAGTTTTGAATGTCATTCACATGGTAGACACAGTTTGAACGTCTCCATTGAAATTTTCTTGGTCAAATAGTCATTAGTGTTGAGAGGAAGAACCATCAAACATTCAATAGTTATCTTTCTCAAATGTATTCCTAGTCAGTTGACAGTCAAGGATTGTGTGCTAATATTCAGTACTAATGAACAGCTTCATGCGTTATGTACCTCGGCACAATTAAGTTGTGATGCTATGTCATGCACGGTTCTATGCATCAACAACCAATTACATAATATCACACAATCTGACAACTAATGATAAGAAAACATAACAATGCAAAAACAGAATAAGATAAATGCATTAATGTAGATTAGTACTGTACAATGTAGAAAAAATACTTATTCACACGCACATACATACATTTTAGCCGTGAGCTTAGCCTTTATACAGCCAAAGTTACATGTACATACACTGTTGCTTATTACTCTGAAACGTCAAGTCTTCGTTCAAATTTCTGTTAAATCTAATCACAAATAACCCCTACTTTTCCAGACCTGTGGGACATGTTTCAAGATTTTTCAGACTTTTGGGACACAGGTTCAACAAACATTTCAGATTTTCAGATTTGCTGAGATAATATAGCTGTGTTTTATTTCATCAACACTTTAACAAGTCAAAATGAACAATGGTTAGACTAGAAAACATACAAAATATACACAATACACCTTCATAAAACTCGGATCACTGTTTTCTCATTTCTTTTCATTAATTAATTCTTTAAAAACTTGCCGAAGTGGACAATTGAAATACCTCTTAACAACTTAACAAAGTAAATGTTTACCACAATAGGTCATGTGGTTTGGTTAACAGCGTAACCAAGAATAGCATCTCTGTTCACTCCATTGTTATTCAACAAAATCACAAAATGAGAAAACAGCAAAGTGAGACATGTTAGTCTTACAAAAAACAGGCATTCTTTATTCAAAGATCTGAAAACCTGTAAGGTAAAGAGAATTACTGGTGAAGACATCTTAACAATCGGATACATATAAAAAAAACTACCCAGTCTAGCGTAATCAAATATTCATGACTAAAACCAAGTAAATGAATTACCATGCCCTATTCTGTCAAATCATATGATATAATGACAATAAATACAAGTCCTACAATACCATAAAATAAATATGACAAACTAATTTCTAGAACTATTGCTTTGTGTCATTTAACAAAACCTTTTAGAACAAGACACCATGCTTTTCTGGCATAAATAATAGTATCTTTATAACTACTGTCATTGTGAATTTCTAGACCAATAATTCTCTTTATTTTTCCTTCAACACAGTGGAATGAAAAAAAGAGACAGTTTTAACACCATTTATTAACTGCTGCCGGAATGACCCCAAGGAATCCTGGTCATACAAGTGATTACCTCCCTTGGTTTAGAAAGAAACTTGAGATCAAATGTATTCATTTTGGGGTAACAATGACATTGAAATAAGGAATGGGGATTCGATGATAAGAAATGAAATAAAATAATAAAACAGCCATGAGTAACATCCTAAAATATTCAAAATATGTTATCGATGCCAGTTTCCATGGCAATGATAGCTGCCATTTCTACTTCTGCAATTTCACAAGGAACTTAACTAAAATATCAACAAATGGTAAGGAACTCATCCCTAAAAAAACTCATACCAAATAAACCAGTCATGATAATGAAGAATGTTGACTGTAGAACTGTCAGGGGTGAATTATTTAAAATCAGTTGTAGGCAATCACTTGTAGATACAACATTCAACATACAGAAGAACACAAACACAGTCTTCATAAGAAACACAAATAAAACCGAGGCAATGATGCAGATTGGCATTTAAATGCCACTATGAGAAAAACAAAAAGAATGAAAATGAAAATATCATATGGCTCGTGTGACACTGAATAATGATACGATTCTAGTGACTGTCTGAATTGTGTATAAAAATACAAATATGAGAATGTACATGTTATGTATCCATGCACGTTGACCCTTTGATACAGTATGTACAACTCGTAATAATAACCTTGAAATGTCCTGTGATTCTAGTCGGCAAAAAGACACATTGTTATTGCCACTAATTTGTGGGAAATGTTCCCTTCGTCTTGTAATCAATTTGGGATTATCTATAGTCGACTAAAACTGCAACGACATTAGCAATGTTACTTAACTCACAGGACAGTAGGCGAAGGTTTTTATTTTCAGTAGGCCTATCAGCTCCCTAGGGGCCGGAATTGCAGGCAATGCCTTTATATTCATCTTCATGTAATAGTGGATGACTTTCAGCCAAACATCCAAAGTCACAAAGGTAGGGATTTTCCCTTCTCAATAGCAAGCAAATAAAATCAACATAGCACAAATGATTCTATGGCACCACCTCGTTAAAGGACATAAGATAGGTTTTCAAGCTGGTTCATTGGTGCTGGAGCCAATGTGTGTACCTGCAACTTGTAGTAAAACATCCTTTCAATGAGACCTCAATTGGTACGAAAGCTGTATGCACATGTAAAGTTTTTACCCTTCAGCATCTTTGTTCACGTTCGGCAACGTGCAGCCATGTAAAGTTAACAGATCCTTGTCATAAAACTTATAAAACATAAAATCTCTTTTTCATGCTGGCATGTGGGCCATGCTTTCATCTTTGTCAGCAGCACAAAATTGCCCAAGGTTCCAGGGACTTGCTCAACCATGGGAAATGCCTGTCCCTCTCACATATTCCTAATGGCACAATGAACTTACTGTAAGTTTCTCACCATCTTGAATAAAATATGCACATGACATAAGTCAGGTCACATCAGTGTTCCTTCCAAGTTAAGTCACATGCAGTGCGCACTGGAGTTTGCGGTTCCAGCAGCAACTGTATCAGGAGTTCGGGATGCCAACACATCCAATTGTAGCATTATTGTGACCTGTGAACACATCATGTGCTCCATTCAAAGTCTGAACACAGTAGTAGCACGCACATTAAATGCATAGTGATGGGTTCATGGCTACACTAAGTCTTAGATATACACTGCATCAGCTGTTCGTTTGTTGCGGCTGGGTACGATGGGTTGTACTGGGCTGGAGATTCCTTCTGACCAGTCTGAGTGAGCAGAGTGGGGTGAAGAGCTTGACCACTGGCCTGGGGAGTCGGGAGAGGGGGTGGGGAAATGGTCGGGCAGGAAGGTGGACATCTGGTGTTGGGGAGGGGAGTCTGAACTCATCTGACTGTGATGAGAAGGTGGCGTAGGGAATGGCTCAATGTTCATGGTGTTGTATGCTGGATACTGCTGTTGTTGCTGTTGCTGCTGCTGCTGCTGTTGTTGTTGTTGCTGTTGCTGCTGAGTGTTGGAGTACTTAGGACACACATCTGATCCTGGATATATAGCCGAGATGGCATGATGGCCATCATTTGCTGGGAACGTATACTCTGTTCCACCTTGACTCCGGCCCATGGCATTGGATTGGACCCTGTTCTGCTGAGCATGTTGCTGCATGGCTTGTATGTGACGAGGAGACGTTGGAAGATTTTTAGGTTTAATGGGTGATGGTATTCCATGAGCAATGGGGCTGCCACCTGGCTGCGTGTTGGGCGTGGAGTTTGTGGATGGTATTTGATGAGGCTGTGGGTGATGAGGATCCAGCCAGCCCAATTCCTGGTCCATAGCTGCACTAGATCTATAATGGTTGGACATTACAGTCATGTCACTGACGTTTAGTGGCTGCTGCAGAGTCCCCATCTGACCGTCATCTAATGAATGAATGTGCGGTTGAGGCATGGCCACCACCGTGTTCTCATAACGCGGCGACGTCAAGTCATAACTTTGCGGTGACTGAGAAGAGTCCAGTGAAGTGCCAGGTGACACTGTCCCAACTGAAGACGACTCATTGGAGGTGGATGTCGACTTTTTCTTCCGGGACTTGGACTTTTGTCCCTGCGCCAAGCCATTGGGTTTGCCCGACTGCGGAGACATGGGTCCGTGGGTTTTGGCATTCTTACGGCCTTTCTGTTTGCCATGTTTTCCACTCATGTGGGGCATAAATGAAATGGATGGTGATGGCACGCCACCATTCGCTAAATGAACACCAGCAGTTGGACTGTTCACTTTATATTCCTCCAACAGTTGCACAATATCATGGTGTCTGCGCTCATAAGCAACATGGCTGGGTAGTCGATCCATATGATCAGTGATATCCCTGTTGGCGAAGTGATCCAGGAGGATTTGAGCTGTCTCGTAACTTCCCTCTCTAGCTGCCAGGAACAAGGGGGTTTCATCCTGGAACAAAGGAAAACAGGCGTGTCAAGTGACATGAACATGCTTCATAGAGGACTTTACCACACTACACACACATCAGACAGTGTTATTTCAATTTTAATGATTCTATTCACAGCATCTGACTTACAGACTTTTCAGAACCCAGGAGAATGACTGTACCTTGCTCTACTGTACTAGAAAGAGATAGATGTTTTATTAGGAAAGTCAGACAATGTTGTACCTTGTTGTCCTGGGCATCTCTGTTTGCACTGTGTTGCAGCAATGTCAACGTTGCATCTCTATTGTTCACCGCAGCTGCCCAGTGCAAAGCGGTCTTGCCGTTGTTGTCTGCAGCATTTATATCTGCATCAGCATTGATTAGGTCTTCCACCATGCCCTCGATGGCCAGACGAGCTGCCAGTATGAGCGGAGTTGTCCCATCATGCATTCGAGCATTGAGATTGGTTGATCTGTTCCTCAACAGAATCTAGAAGGAAAATTACTAGTGATTACAAATCTGAATCAAAACCAATGAGGCATTGTCCCTTAAAATGTAGTAAAAATTATGACACACTGCTCACCTTTCATTAGGTACACGAAGATGTTTCACTGTTTACACGTGAGTAGCTAGTGCATTATGGGATAATGGAAATATCCTGATCAAAGCTGAATAATATGTAAATCAACAATTGTCAACTCACGTCAAACTTCATTATCAAGTGGGCTGTAAAAATTCCTTTCGTCATGATATGATTTGTATTAGCAAGGTAGCAATGAAATACATGAAAACTCTACTCTGGTCATGTTTTCTTAAGGAGTCATATTCAATCACCACTGGGAATGAGGACTGACCCAACCACACATATTAAGTAAACTTCAGATAATCCAACCAACTCCTCCTGTACATAGTATCCCACAAATAGTATTTAGCAAAATATGCTTACACCTCTTCTAAAATGTCTTAATATGTACATGTATGATTTTGTTTCCATACATCATGATACAATATTTGTACCACGCATGATGCCATACTTGTATCATAACATTTGTATCACCATGAAGTGATACTTTAATCACACACAAAGTATCACCATATTTCAAGACTTGGTGAATCACTTCAGCTTTACTGTAAACAATAATGTTGTCACAGTAATCCAAAGGAAGAGGGATCTGGTATATGCGATGAAGTTTGAAGATTCTACCTGGAACACTCCCTGAGCATCAGCTGCCACAGCTGTGTGTAACGGCGTCCGGCCGGTGCTGTCCTGGGTGTTGGGGTCTGCACTAGCATCCAGCAGCGTCTTGGCAGCATCAGCTCGGGCATACCTTGCAGCCAGGTGTAAGGAGGTCTCCCCTGTTGACAAAACATAAGCTTTATAGTACATTGCCATTATATCATTGCTTGGAGCTGTTTCACTGAAGGATCTCAAAGTCAAGATTATTGTTATTCTAAGCATGCAGGAAATTGGTCATTGAGATGCGAATTGGCTAATAACCTACACTACTGAGTACAAAGCAAACACTGACACTGAAATAGGTCACATATTTTATTCTAAAAACATGAGCCTGAACTGACCTGTACGATCCGTCTGTGCGTTGATAGCAGCCCCCTGCATCAGCAGACTAGTGATGACATCAGCTGACCTCTCCTCACCCTCACCACTCTCACCAGAACCCGAGCCACTGTCCTCGTCACACCCTGTCTCCAAACCTCCACCACGGAATGATGCCAACATCAGGGGAGTGAAGCCATCTGAACAACATCAAACAGGAACAACTCATTTAATGCAACATCAATGCAAGAAGTTACTGTCTGGTGAGGGTTCTTCGTTATCAAATAATGGTCTTTCTAAATACAGGAATTTTCTTTGGGAAGTCTGGGCGACTGAGGCATTGAATTTTTCTGTATGGTTGTATAAAAGGACCAATGTTACACTTCCATATAAAAATATGTTTGTCAGAGATGAGATAGATCTCTTCCAATATGTCAACTTACCGGGTCCCCTGACGTCCACATCCTTATTGTCCATCAGGTCCTCCCCCTGAGGTGGTGTCAAGGCCAGGATGGATGGCTTGGGGATGTTGGCTGCATCCAGATGCTGCTGTGTCCACTGACGAGTGTCACCCTGGTCAAAGTCCATGCAGGCAGCCTGGTCACTCTCTCCACAATGTCGCTCAATCTGAAGGCACAATGTTGATTTCATTACCAGGTCTCTGATGACCTACGGTGCCTGCAGACTACATTACAATTTTACAATTGACGCTAGACAGGAGCACATTATCGACTCTAACTCCCATGTATAAAAATGTAAAACCTCAAACGGAAAAAATAAACTTCTTCATTAATTAGTCTTTGAATATCATTTTACTCCACTTTTAGCAATATTCTAACAATATCACGGTGGGAGACACTCAAAATAGACATACCACATTGTACCTATGTGGGGAATTGAATGTGAATGCTCCAACAACTAGGCTATCCCACTCCCCTTTATAATAAATAAGAAATTGGCACAGGTTCACATATCTGCCAAATCATGGCCAAAATAGGCCAAGGTTTCCAATCACATGAGCCTTCAATAACAGACTGACAAGATGAAACATAGCTTACAGTGCATACCTTCTGGCGTTTCCTCTGAGGCTGTTCCTCATCCTCATCCTCCCAGCAGTCACTGCTCAGTGGAGGTGATGTGTGGTTCTCGTTGGCATCCATCTTGTCCAGCTGTGACTGGTGCGAGCCCTTCTGGACTTCACTGAAAGACAGCATCAGATGTTCAGAAACTAAACTCAGCATCTGGCATTAGAAATCAGCCCTTTTGACTGAATGAATCCTGCAAATTACTCTGAAGTCATACTACAGCAATGGACACAAGAACTGACTTCCCAGACAGCTGACATTGGAGAAATCAAACATCAATATGTTTAATCAAAAAGCTAACACGTAATTTGTGGTTTATGCATGAAATGATAGCTGAAAATGGCTAGGATATTTTGTGAGTCTCCTACACTGAAAGACAGATATATCAATGAACAAGTTGTCCCTAAATATGACAGCTAGGAATGCCATGTGACAGCCCTGTGATCATTGGCCAGGATACTTTTCCAATGGTAAAATCCCTGCCTGAGTAAGAAATACTTCATATGTAAGTTTGACATGAAGTAACTTACTGCATCTCTTCTCCATCAGGGCACTTTCGATTTCGGGCACGAGGTTTGGTGGCTTCATTCCTGCGGAAGAAACCTTCAGGAAACCATGTCACTGCTCTCTCTGTTCGTCTCGAAATAACAATTATTACAGCCAGAGTGAAGAGCAGGATGGCGCCACAGGCGATGACAATGTAGACGAATGTCATGGAAGGTAAAGTTCCAGGTCCGGAGGCATCTTCAGCGCTCACTGAAGCAATAGGAACGCCTACGTCTCCTCCTTCCTTCAAAGCTGCCGCCAGGAACTGGGCTGCAGGGTTAGCACTGTTGAAGCAGTTCTCTGGACTTATCTCGTAACATTTTCGGTAGTCAATTTCCAAATACACTTTTGTCCTGTTGAAGAAAATAAAACCAAAGGCTAAAATACATTCACATACCACGATGTGTACTATATGAATTTGTCACAACCCTTTGACATTCAAGTAACTAAAATCGTTTCTTACATTACTTAAGCAAAAGTTAACTGAATTACTTATCAACCTATTGCAACTCTGACACCAATAGAACAATAACTTCTGACATGTTTTATCCGTGATCCATTCATATAATTTTCACAGCTATTTTGCCTTTTATGCCCGATGGAATCTGTAATGACCAGATATTCAAGACTGATTATGCTCTGGCTGATGTTTTATATATACTGGTTTGGTTTAAAAAAACATATCAAATATGAAGTAAAGAAATAACCAACTTGCAAGCAATGAACATACCCTGTCAGCAGAGAACGTTTGTCTCTTTTGGAAGCTTGCATCTTTAACAAACTTTCTATGTATCTCTTGACACGGGAGTTGGCATCTTCCTCTTCCTGCTTCCATGGAAAAATCATCTCCTGGCCTTCAGCATCCTTCTTTATCCGAAGCACTGCACGCAAGATGTGGCTCAAATTACGTAGCACCATCGTTGAAATGTTGCGGAAATGTCCTGGTGACACCAAGACGATGATAACCAGAGTTCCTTGGGCCAGCTTGGGTGGGTTGTTGTCACAGTCCAAACCATCCCACTCACAGTCGGCAGTGTTGCACCCCTGATCACAGTGTCCATTGTGGTAGTTGAGGCGACAGTACTGGTCATAAAATGGGTTGCATTCTTTGATGTCTTCTTGACAGTCAAACCCATCATAGAGACAGTCTTGGTTATTGCACTGTGGGTTGCAAATTCCGTTCTTGAAGACCTTCCAGCAGTAGACACCATCCCTTGCTTGTGTACAATTAGCCCAGGGCTTCATCCCATAGGAACATTCCTTGCCATCATAATCACATGCATGCATGTTACACTCAGTCTGTAAAAAAATAATATGTAGTTAAGATAAAGTGAGTGAGTGAGTGAGTTTTGGTTTAACGCCACTTTTAACAGTTTTCCAGTTATATCACGGCGTGTCAGCTTAATGTGGGAGGAAAGCCCGAAGGGATGCAGGTCTCAGACGTTTACCACTTCGGTGAAACCCACGGGTATGGTGCTGACAAACCTAGAAACATAATCCGGGCGAACCGGGATTCGAACCCACAATCATAGGTTTCTGGCGTGCCCAAGGGACGCAACTCTGCACAGCGAATCGCGGCGCCTTAGACGACTGGGCCACCCGTGCCCCCAATTAAGATAAAGAAACATAAAGGCGAAGAAATAAAAGGGATTCAGGTGGGTTTTTTTTCAGTAGTACTTTTAATCTAGGGACCCTACATGTCTATAAATTCAAATATTAGGATTAGGACAATAACACCTTTATATTGTCTTAATTTCAAACACAGCTAATCATTTGAGAAATATGGTCAGTCCAAGTTGCAGGAGTTTCAGATGTTAAGAAATGTTAAATATTAATCACTTTGATATTAAAATAAAGTTGAGATTGTTGAATAAATCGAAAATGTGATATTCCTGGAGGAAAAGATATGTAGACACATGACAACTTACATCACACTGTCCATTGTTGGCCTTGTCAGGACAACCCAGTTCCAAGCACCTCCGCCATGGTTCATCAATGGCTTGGGTGGTTGCTTCAGGCAGGTAGTACTCACAACGGCTTCCTGTGTAAGTTCGAGGACACTGGCACCGGTAGAAACCTACAGCAATATCTGACGGATTAGAATTGGTCCCCAACAAGTCATGTTTGTCATACGAGGTGACTAACAGGATTGGATGGTTACGTAGATCATTGCTTATGATGACTATCACTGAATTGTCGGGTCCAGACTCGATTATTTACAGAAAGACATCAAATAGCTAGAATATTGCTGAGTGTGGTGTCAAAACAACAAACAAATTTTAAATCATTGGATCTCTTGCATGCTATGAGAAGACAACATTCTCAAAATACATTCCTAGCATAACCATTAGGGAGGCAGTACTGACCTATATCTTCATGACAGATTCCACCATTGAAGCACGGGTTTGACTGGCACTCCAGCACAACATCTTCCCCACACTTGGAGCCGCTCGCTCCTGGTGGGCATGTACAAGTGTAGCCTGTGGGGGTTGGTTTGCAGGTGGCACCATTGAGGCAGGGGGAGCTGTCACAGGCAGATGATGTCAACTCACAGTAGTTACCTGTGTAGCCCTGGAAAATAATCATGGTGATTTTATAGAATCAGTCGACATCTAAACATCAAACATCATTTTACTTAACACATCTTACTTAAAGATAATATAAATGGGAATGAATGCTGCTTACATCTCGGCAATCACATCGGATGGTTCCGCCACTGTCTTGGGAACAGGTTCCGCTATTCTGGCACGGCTGTTGATGACAGGTGATGGGTTGGTCGCAACGCTGACCTGACCAGCCATGTTTGCAGTCACATCGGTAGCTGTTGTTTAGTTGGACACAATCCTGAGTGCCACTATCTAAACAGGGACTTGAGAGACACTCGTTGACATCCCCCTCGCACTTGGTTCCAACAAATCCTGGTGGACACATACACTTGTAGGTGCCGATCTCGTCCTTGCATGTTCCTCCATTGTGGCAGGTGTTGGGTAAACAATCAACTTCATCAATCTCACAGAGGAATCCAAGAGTCCCTGGCGGACATGAACAGTGGAAGTCACCCACTGCATCGTGACATGTGCCTCCATTCACACACGGATTGGTAGCGCAGTCGTCAATGTTGAATTCACAGTTCTGACCCTGGAAGCCATTGGCACAGCGGCAGGTGTACCTCCCAACCAGGTCCTCACAGGTGGCTCCATTTTGGCAAGGTTGAGAGGCACACTCATTCAGCTCCACCTCACAGTAACTGCCTGTGTAGCCAGTCTGACATTTGCAAGTGTGGTAGTTGTCTGTGTCATGACAAGTCCCTCCATTATGACAGAGCTTGTCACGAGTAGTTCCTTGAAACAGAAATATAACGTTGATAACATGATAAAGGCATACATCTCTTTTGTTACACGAACAAGTTTATATTTAGAACTTTAATGAAGAGCTTTCTTGTCAGGAGCAATTTTGTCCAATTTTTAAGGGAGACAATCCTGTTCTACAAAATTACCTCCCTTTACCTCCAACATTCAAGCTTGATCATTCTTTGATCATTTATTTTGAAAAAGTGACTGGTTTCCTTTAACCTTCTAATACATAACCCAGCTGTGACCAACGTCATGCCCTATTAAATGTTCAAAGTTTAACAAGCACATTCTGACTAACCTCTTTGCTTGGCTGCTGTGTCACACGGAACTTCCGAGACATCACAGTGGGCTCCCTTCCAGCCGAGGGGGCAGACGCACTTGTACTGATTGGCTTGCTGTACACAGTTGCCATTATTCTTACAGGGGCTCTGACTACACCAGTCCAGGAATTCCTGAGAGACAGCAAGTTATAAAGATTATCCACTAAGTGTAAGAATCATTGATAGGCTCATCACCTTGCACACACAGTATCATGAAACAAATGAACGTGCTCAAAGACTCAGACCACAAAAAGTCCTTTAGTGAGGGAATGTTTGTTATAAGTTGCAGTTACCAATATTACAGCTTTGATACATGAGCTATATTAAACCAATCTACATCAGGCACACAAATGGTTGATGGCATAAGAAGCGAACCAAAGGTCAGCATATGAGGACAGTTGCTGAAACCACACAGTAATGCCCAGGGAGATTGAGTGGGACCTATTCTGGTTTGAAATTTAGTAAACTTGCAATAAGTAACACAAAGATATAGTATCTTTCTTTCAGTTACATTATCAGCACCTTAAAATGCTATCAGAGCAAATCTTCCTTACCTCACACCGAGGCCCAGTAAAGCCATAGGGGCAGTAGCAAGCAAAGTCTCCATCGACGTTGTTGCAGGTGGCCGCATTGAGACAAGGATTGGAGTCACAGGGGTTGATGTGCTGCTGGCAGTTGGATCCCATGTAGCCGGGAGCACACAGACACTGATAGTGGTTAACCTTGTCCACACAGGTACCGCCATACAGACACGACCTACAATGCATGAACGTAAGTAAACAAAATAGGCAAGACATGCGACATCTTCAGGTTGTTAAATGACCATCACGACATATAGAGACTGTCATCCGAGAGAGTATTGATAGCAAACATATCAACACAAGTTGATAAAAGTTAAAAACACTTTTAAACCTTCATTGATGAGTGCTGATTTATGTGTTATGAAAAGACACTGGGGTGAGGTATTATTCATCACCCAAATCATTCATTTATTCAATCATATTCCCTCAACCTTTTGAGTCTGTAAATAGTAAAAAACAATGACTTAAGTATAAAAGTAAGCTAACTATCCTCTGTGGCAGAGAGACTGGTTATTTGATTGTGACTTCATGGTAAGTGATGATGTCACAATGGTTTGCAAAGCATTGTTGCAATTTCATTGCAGCAGGATCTCCATGAAGATATTGCTGATATCACTCAAGCGGTATGTCATGTGCTAGCCAGTTTCAGAAGATAAATATGTATATATGAAGTGCAAAGTTATTTCTAGTTTTATTGCAAAGTAATAAGTAGACGTTTCTCCTCTTGTGGACTAGTGGCTGTGTGTAACCCTGACAAGGGACAACAAAGAAGAAGTTATCGAGATGCTTACGTTGCTGTACAGTCATTGTCATTGTTTTGACAATGAATGCCACTGAATCCAGGTTGACATGTGCACGTATACGAGTTGACGTAGTCGGTACAAGTTCCCCCATTCATACAGGGCATAGACGCACACTCGTTGATGTCATCCTTGCAATGGTGGCCCCCAAAGCCTTGCACGCACACACAGGTGTAGTTATTGATGCCATCAATACAGGTTCCTCCATTGTAGCAGGGATCTATAGGAACGCAAACACACATGATATAAAATGTCACTGCCTGAGAATCAGTCACAATTATCCACCAAAACAGATTCCATTGGGCAAAAAATGCAAATTAGAAGTGAAAATTATTTGAATGGATCATTGAAAATCAGTGATGACCTAGGTGTTGGCAAAAGGGGTAAACATATCAATGAAAGCAAAGAGCCTTTGTTAGTTACATCAATTCAATTCTTTGCAATATATTAATTTTATTAATTTTAATATTAATCTTATGTCGTCAGCAATGTTACAGCTATATCACAGTGGCTTCTAATACTGCAGAGCAGGAAAGGCTTATAAGTGGTTGATAAGCAAAGATACTTGGCACTGGGGTGTAATATGACACAATCAGCAAGGTCACATATTGCAGCTTCCTGCTCCTCATTGGTCAGCTGTTACACCAATCATGGGGCACTGGGAACCTATTCCACCCTATATCATATAAAGAAGGTTTGATTTGTTGGAAGAACAAGAGGAACGACACTCACTCAAAGGTTTGCAGTCATCAGGGTTAAGATCGCACTGCTCGCCTTCATACCCAGGAGGACAGTGGCAGATGAAAGATCCGTTGGTGTTCTGGCATGTGCCGCCATTGAGGCATGGAGGTTGTTCTGCACATTCATCTATGTCCTGGTCACAGTGGCGGCCTGTGAATACAATGGCACACAATCATACAATGTGATACATCCATGGAGTGGCTTTACCTGGGGATGACATCCTATTGACAATGGTATTATACACTTTTGTCACAATCTGACAATCAGTCACAAATTAGATACCTACTACAGAATCCTACCTCTACCTCTACAGAGTCCTACATCTACCTCTACCGAGTCCTACATCTATCACTACAAAATCCTACATCTACCTCTACAAAATCCTACATCTACCTCTACCAAGTCCTACATCTACCGCTACAGAATCCAACATCTACCTCTACCGAGTCCTAGATCTACTGCTACAGTCCTACATCTACCGCTACAAAATCCTACATCTACCTCTTCAAAATCCTACATCTACCGCTACAGTCCTACATCTACCGCTACAGACTCCTACATCTACCGCTACAGTCCTACATCTACCGCTACAGAATCCTACATCTACCGCTACAGTCCTACATCTACCGCTACAGAGTCCTGTACATACCTGTGTATCCTGTAGTACATGTGCACTCAAAGTCTTGGTAGCTGTTGGTGGGCACACACTGTACAGCATTGCGACAGGGGATGGCAGCACAGGGGTTCATTTCAACATCACAGTTCTTGCCTGTGTAAGGCACCTCACAGTGACAGAAGTAGTTGTCGTTCTGGTCGACACACCGGCCGTGGACACACGGGTTGCTGATGCAGTCATTAATGTTGGTCTCACAGTTTGTTCCTGAACAAAAATAAAATGGTTCATTAACAACTTAACGACATAACATGATGAAAGGCCACCTGTAGCAAACCGAATTCTAATGAAACAGTTACGGTATTGCTTAACAGAAGATCAAATTTGACACAAAACAAAAAGGTTTTAAATCTAATACTAGACCTGGGCCCACTTGCACAAAGCGATCTTAGCGCTAAGACTATCGTATAAGCCTAAAGTATGGGAGCTTATCTTGGCGCTCAGATCGCTTTGTGCAAGTTGGCCCAGGACAAGTTCAAGGTCATGTCGGTTTACATATCCTATGAATGAAACAGGCACACTCAGAGTCAGCGAAAATGGCACAGAGGACAAGCATGTGGAACTGGGGACAAACCAAATAAGGGTTCTGGTACTGAAACATATTCTGTCCTTAGAATCCCCACAGGGAACAAGGGTACTGCTGACCTATTCTGCCCAAGAAACCCAATGAAGGATTCGGTACAAGGCTACTAGTGATCTAGCCTCTTCTGAAATCTCAACAGTGTTAAAGGCTCACCACTCCATCCAGGCCTACATTCACAGGTGTAGCCATTGAGATAGTCCTTGCAAGCTCCTCCATGCTGACAGGGGTTGGACATGCACTCGTTGATGTTGCTTTCACAATTGTACCCGCCGTAACCTTGAGGACAGCGGCAGTCAAAACTGAAACATTCAAGAAACCTTAAGTTTGTGGAACTTTCCAATACATTCTAGACCAACATCGACATAAAAAGACAAAATATTACAAAAAGTATTCCATACTACATTCTGGAACCATCCAATAGAAACTGGATCATGTGACCACATTTTACTTGACTCAGACTAGTGGTTAAATTCTATACCAGTGAATAAATTTGTATACTGCCTACTATATGAAGTTTCAAGGCATGTTCCCATAAACAGGAATATTCCCCAGTAATATCCAAACCCGAGTTTACTTACCGATTGACACCATCAATGCACTGCCCGCCATGGAGACAAGGGTCGCTTGCACATTCATTCACATCCGACAGGCAGAGAGCATCAAAGTATCCTGGCGGACAGTCACACAGAAAGCCGTTCTCCTCATCCTTGCATATTCCACCATTAGAGCATGGGTTGGACTCGCATTCGTTGATGTCCCGCTCACAGTGTTCACCTGCCATAGTAATTCACTTGTCACAAACAGTCATTTGCACATAGATCTTCACAAATCAAGATGAGAACTGTTGAAATGCTTAGAGCTTTGAGAACTTTTCTTTGATAAAGGAAACAGAATATATGAACTTGTATATTGTGAGTGAGTGAGTGATGAGTGAGTGAGTGAGTGAGTGAGTGAGTGAGTGAGTGAGTGAGTGAGTGAGTGAGTGAGTGAGTGAGTGAGTGAGTGAGTGAGTGAGTGAGTATGGTTTTATCCTGCTTTTAGCAATATTCAAGCAATATAACAGCAGGGGACACCATAATGGGCTTCAAACATCGCACCCACGTGGGCAACAGACCCGGGTCTTTGGCGTGATGAGCAAATGCTTTAACCACTTGGCTACCCCACCACCCCTTATTGATCAGGAATTATCTATGCAAAAGGTAATCAGGTAAAAAAAATTAATCAACCCCATTATAGAATGAGTATCCCTTCTGTAGATTCCAGGTGCTTGTTCTATTTATCTTTTATGGTAATTGCTTAAAGTCTGAAGGTTTGAAGTCATATCACTGCTTTTTTCTTGACTTCAAGTTGTAGAAATAGAACGTGTATGTCTTTTCACAAAGCAATCTTACAGCAACAAATACACCTGTCATAAGTCCACCCTTAAGTACAGACTTACGAAAGTTCTGTGTTGTCTTTGCTTAATGGACCACGTTCATGTCTGTACTCACCTGTAAAGCCTGGTTTACAGTGACAGGTGTACGAATTAATGCCATCAATACAGTTGGCATCATTCCGACAGGGGTTGCTGGAACATTCATTGTTGTTCTTCTCACAGTTTCGACCTGGAAGTATTTGTGAATTACTAAAACATCACAGTATTTGAATATGACTATTGCAACATTAAGATGAACATGATCTGTGTCCTCAAATAAAGGAAATCTTCTGAAGACATTATTTACTATCGGATGAAGTTGGGTAATGAAGCTCACCTGATGTCCCCATCTGACAACGGCATTCGTAGGAGTTGGTCAAGTCATAGCAGGTTGCCCCGAACTTGCAAGGGTTGCTGTCACACTCGTTTATTTCTTGTTCACAGTGGGTGCCTGTGTACCCACTAATACACTGACAGTGATAGGTCTCACGGCCGTCAATGCATTTACCAAAGGTGCAGGTCACATTGGCACAATCATTGATATTTTCTTCACAATGATCACCACGGAAACCTGCAAAGAATGTTTTCGATGAGTAACAGAACAATTACCCTTTACTTTTCAACTAAAACCAGGCCTCTAGTCTCACATTAGTGAAATGCTGAAATGACTAATACTTTTCTCTCAAAGTAGTCATCTTACAAGACAAACTAAAAGGCATTAGTTGAACTAGTCAGGTTTAATCACCCTCCAGAAAAGTTTTTCTTTAATAAAAGTAGACAATTTATCAATAGGTCATAAGAGAAGACATGACTTATTTCCCGCTAAATGAGATGTTACTTTCTGTGCGGACTTGTGATGCAGGTGACTTACCTGGGAGACAGGTGCAGCTGTAGGCATCCCGGCGGTCGTTACAGGTGGCACCGTTGAGACAGGGGTCACTTTCGCACTCATTGATGTTGATGCTGCAGGTGTGACCTTGAAAACCTTCAACCACAACACATCCATTCATTAACTTAATTTCAACATATTGCACCCACTAACTTAAATGCAGCAACACTTAAAAATGTACACTGTGCATTTTCTTCTTATTTTGATCTGTTATTTAACATCTTTAGAAACAACACTTCCTGCGAATGCTGTTTTCCAGAAAATAACTATGTGAATAGTATGTAGTGAGTGAGTGAGTATTGTTTTACACCGCTTTTAGCAATATTCCAGAAATATCACGGCGGGGGACACCAGAAATGGGCTTCACATATTGTACCCATGTCAGGAATCGAACCCAGGTCTACGGCATGACGAGCAAACGCTTTAACCACTAGGTTCCCGAGAATAGTATTTAGAGTTGACAGTAAATCAAGCACGTCCTAGGATAAATAGACTCACCAGGTAGACAAGTACACTTAAAGTTGTTTTCTAAGTCTTCACAGTATCCATCATTATGACAGGGCCGGCTAGCACACTCATCGATGTCCCTCTCACAGTTGTCTCCCGTGAAACCTAGAAACACCATCATATACATACAGAGAGGTACAAGCTACAATATGTATATATGTCAAAACCCACTGTCATAACTGTCATATTTCAAAACAATATTTCTTTTCGGATGGATTGTGCGAGATGAAGAGTAAGAAAATGAAATGAAACTCAATTAAAGTGAGTGAGTAAGGTTTTACATTGCTTTCAGCAATATTCCAATAATATCACATCAGGGGATATGGGAAATGGGCTTCACACATTGTACCCATGCAGGGAATTGAACCCTGGCCTTGAGAACGACAAGCGAATGTAGTAACAACTAGGCCACCCTACCACCCAAAATTAAAGAAATGAGAAAAAAGTATTATGTCACCAAAACTTGTGATTGTAGTATTAAGTCGCATTGTCCATAACCCATTATTTAACATAAATGTGCCACAGATGTGTACCTGATAATATTTTATTTTATTTTTTTGTTTGTTTGTCTGTTTAACGCCACTCTCAGCAATATTCCAGCTATATGATTGGGGTCTGTAAATAATCGAGTCTGGACCAGACTATGCAGTGATTGACATCATGAGCATCGATCCACGCAATTGGGATACGGTGACATGCATCAACCAAGTCGACGAGTCTGACCACCCGATTAGTCACCTCTTATGACAAGCATAGTCGTCTTTTTACGGCAAGCATGGGTTGCTGAAGACCTATTCTACCCCGGATCTTCACGAGTCTGTACCTAATAACAATAATGTCAATGTTTAGCTGTTTTACATTATTCTTTGGCTTTCTTCCTCACTTTTTGGTGTTCAATATTCGATTATACTAAATGTGTCTCTCAAACATTCCCAACTACAAATGGCCATACCTTTGACAATCAGTTTATACAATCAACTTGGTCCACAAACTACCCCTCTTTTCATCCTGTCAAAAATTCTCATCATTAGGATTCAAACCAAACTCCATCAATGCTCCACTACACCCTGGGAAACATCATAAATGTCTTCTGAATATGCAAAGAACCTTTCAGTAGACTTTAGTGCACATACTAATGGCCCCATCTCCCCACAATCCCATGATGGCGGCCACAATGTTCCTCCCTCAACTTGAAAGAAGTCACAAATTTATCACAGAAATTCCCAGGATTGCAGAACCCCCCTCCTCGTTCTCTCACACACACATCCCAACAAAGCCTCATCTTGGATTTAAGGTGTATTGAATTTGTACTCATACATACTAAAACATACATCATACATCAGTGTTTATGAAGCATGACCTTTGTGCCCCACTTTCCTTTATTTAACAGTTTCCCTTCTCCTCGCTCCCACGATTCAAATCGTCATAAAAAGCTTTCCCAAACAACTCTTGGCCCAGATGGATCACTATGGCTGCTCTACCAATGGCTCAGTTCAATGGAGTGGAAATAATGAGAACTACAGTCTGGAGTCTTACAGCAGTTATGAGGCACTTGAATAGTGCATACAGACTGGACCATCAAGAAATAATTGACACCTGAAAATCTGCTCCCAGTGAATGTTTTGGCAAATGTGATCCCTGTATACTCACTTAAAACAGTACACCACATAAACCTATATCACATATGATCATAGTCTATTATGGTTTAAATAGAGAAAATAAACAACTTTTCATGTTTTTTAGCATTAAAATAATTTTTCTTCTCTGGCCATAGTTCAATTACATTGTTTCAAAACTATTTTAACAATCATATAATTCTGATTTACAATTATATCTAATCACTAAAGCATACCAGGAAGTTTGTAAGTAAAATATCACTTTCTCATCTTAAGACTCCCCATGTGGAACCTCATTTGAGAAAGGGTAGACAACTTTCCCACACTTGAGTTTCATCCCTGACCTTTGTTAAACATCCCTGAGTACATCAGTAGCTTTCTAACAGTTGACTAGTGCGTACATTGTCAGTGCAGGGGGCTGCGTAATACCGAGACGAGTGGGAAAGCCGAGGTATCATTGTTAACTTTTCACATGAATTATAGGGCTTCACTGCAGCTTGTGGCAAACTGACAGCCGATGCAGCAGGTTAATGGTAGTATTTTAAAAACTTTTAGAAAAGTTCTTTGTCACTCAGTAAATTTGAATAGTCTCCCGAGTAATATCGCCATGGGAAAATCGGACAAATATTTAGAAAGATAAATAAGTCTGTCACCTTGGGTTGATAAGAATTGATGTGTAATGTTATGACATCTATTACAAGTGGGAACATGACATATATAAGCCTATATATTTCATTCAGTATACATGTTCTCATGCCTCGGTATACAAGCAATACCAACAGTATTGAAAAGGGGAAAATTTAGTTCTTTTCAAATAACTTCTTTTATTAAATATTTTAGACATGCCAAAACAGATTCCCTTACAGATTTTTTATCATGACTTAAATCCAAATTTGACATTGAAACATATTGTAATGAAATTTTGCAGACCGAAAATCATAAGCAAAGTCACTATGGTATAAAGTTATTGATAAAATACATATATCAATACATTACTTCAGTGTAAAATATAAAAAACAGCTATTTTTTTAAATCTTTGGACAATACATAACCTTGTATAATGACACATTATCAGTAATATTATGCCAAAATGTTAATCAGGTTGAACATGATCATGAAATAATTTGTGAGATAATACATTTTGACATAGGCTGAAGAATATCATGTATCATATATCCATGTATCATATATCAAACACAGTTCATCAGTGTAAAAGAAGAAATATATCTTATAGTCTGTGTTCAAAAATCCACAAGCACACAATTGTTTATCAGAATCACATTCAGAACATTTTAGTGTGAATACACAGGCAATTTGTAAGTGAGCTCATATTACAGGCTTGGACTTGAACTTGTGCATGAAGGCTGCTCTTACCTGGCATGCATATACACTTGTATTCTCCATTCATATCCAGACAGGTGCCATCATTCTGACAGGGGTTGGAGGCACATTCGTTGATGTTCACCTCACAGTACTGACCGGAGAACCCTGTCTGGCAGATACACCTGAAACTACCTGGTGTATTCTCACAGGTACTGCCATGTTCGCATGGGCCCTCGTAACCTGGGGAAACCAAGCAAATGTTACAATTCATAATTCATAGTTTGGGAATAATTTGGTAAAACATTCCTGGCAGAATTGGAATGAAAACTCCTCTTGAAAAAAAGTCTGCTTTGTGAGCTCATAAAGTAAAGTCGAACCTCTTTAGCACTAACCAAGGGGACAGATGATTAACTTCAAGATTACTGGATATTAAGAATAACTGCCGTTTCAAACAAATATCCAAAGCAAAACATTGAATATACCATCAGTATAAGGAAAGTACTGAATAACTTCAAGATGTTTGGACAAGAAAAATGGACATAAAATCAGTCCAAGTTTCATACAGATAAGGAGAACACTAAGATTCAAGGCATTTTCAAAGCTTTTCAAGGCTGCTAGCTGTCATTTTCAAGTCTTTTTTAAGTTGGCCTTAGTCTGTCAATATTTTATAAAATCCACAATACCATATATTAGTCGAAAGACCTAAAAAGTAACATGACCATCACACATTTTCTAACAAGATATATTTTTCACCAAACTAAAAAAAATTAAATCTGAAGTTTGTCATGAATTTTTCATGATCTATCACTATCACAGATCTATCACTGTGAGAAATATCACTTAAACATCTTTGGTACATATTTCTGTGTGCTTCAATACTTAGCTTAACAAGTAATATGTAAATTTGTACAATTTCAAGGCTTTTCAAGCTAGTATGGTGGTTTTCAAGGCTTTTCAAGGTTGACACTTTTCAAGACGGACCTAAAAATTCAAGGCTTTTTCAAGCCTTTACGAACCCTGCAGTCACCTTCTGACACAAATTTACAGTCCAAATATGAAAATTATTGTTTTTGATGGGTAATATTTAAATGACGATCAAGAAACACGAGCTGTGTAAAGCTTCTGATTGAGCAGCTGCAGTGAAGCGATCTGTAAGCATTACATGGCTCTCTGTCTAAACCCAACTGTCAGAGCAACTTACACAATTATGTAGTAAACACATTTGTGGGGTCAACAAACAGGTCCAGATAATGGTGCAACAGTGTCAAGGTTCTACTGTGACTTGTCTAATGATTTAACAAGTATAACAGACCATTCCAACACATTAATGAAATCGCAACAGTATTAGACACAATTCCATATCATATCACATGGTCAAATTAATTCGTAAATCAAAAGAAACAGTCATGATATATATCCAAGGTATACCTATATATCTTTGATTTACATGTTCCAGTAATTCAGATTAATACACATTTTATCAAAATACCTATCACTAACATTTAAGTTACGTTTCATCCAACTGATAAATTTTGATAAAAACCACTAAGCATAACCATAACTAAAATATACCTGAGTCTATCCACTTACAATCATTTACCAACATTCACTCACAACTAAATCATCATGGTATTTTCAACGCTTGGTTTCTGATGCATACGTTTTGTTTGAACAATTCATTATTTCTACAGTGTTGTAAGGTCAACATATTATTTCCCATAAATATCTTCATTTTTCAAATGTACTCTTGCCTACAGGAGCGAGACAAAAATGCCTAAGAAAGTCAGTGGCTCGTGAAAGCCCCAAAGCAGTAATCACGATAGGCAAAAATAAAATGAAATCAGTTGAGTCGTTGTTCAAGGTATTAGGTATCCGTGAGAACTGTGTTGTAAACATGGCTTAACAATAAGGCTGCCAATGAAGAATGGCAAACCTCACCCCAAGCTACCTAGGTTTCTGCAAGGCTATGTGTCTACAAAACAAGTGACCGGCTTGCTACTCTTGTACACAACCAATTTAACTTGCAAATTAGGTACTCATGTTTCATGTTCAGTTACAAGGCAATTATGAATTAATCAAAATGACACATATGTTTTTGTAATTCTGGATATGAATAAAACAGTCTCTTTCAAGCATAAAATATATTCAATGAGAATTTCTTCAAAATAGTATTATCACTGTATGGCTGAAATTTTACATATGCCACACAAGATTTGAACTGACGATGAGGGAGTTGGGTTTAACACCGCTTTTGAATGGTGTTCCAGTTACATTTCCCAATGTCAGCTTAATGTGGGAGGCAAGCCCGAAGTGATGCAGGTCCAAGACATTTATCACTGTGGTGAAACCCACGAGCAAGGGCAAGGTGCTGACAAACACAGAAACATAATCGGGGAGAACTGGGATTCAAACCCGCGATATAACTCAAGATGACAATATTGTCGTACATGTATATCACAGATTTGTATAAATGGTACTGAACTATCATGCGCCTCTGCATGGCCATGGTTTCTGAATGAGTGAGTGAATGGGGTTTAAGTTAGCCATATCTCAGCTGGGTCAGAGTGGCCTGCAACTGTCTGGAACCGACAGCCAGGATGTCATGATGAATTGAACAATCAGATTTGACCATCGCTTTACAAATGTATCAGACACCTTGTATTCTTACAATCAAAAAGTTGAAAAGACTTTTGAAAAGTTGGTCCTCTGTCAAATTAATGATGTTGGAAAATTTGGTGCCAGGAAACCAACACTTACATACAGTGTGAAAATATGTGCCATGTGATAATTTTCGTATCTTGCCTAAATGTAAAGAAGCAACACTCTTGTGTAGCATGGAGTCAGTGTTAATATGCTGGTGCCAGGAGTTTTCTTCATCCTAATCAAAGTCCTATTGTGTACAATCTAGTAACATGGGACTGCACAGTTTGTGGCAAGGGGAGACATGAACTTACTCTCTTCGCACTCGTTGATGTCCTTGTCACAGAAGGTGCCTTTCCACCCTCGCTTACAAGTACACTTATGATTGCCGTCAATAGGGGAAGTCTCGCAACTTGCACCAGCATGACAGGGACTACTTTCACATGCGTCCTCCAGATGGCAGCGCAGACCTGAGGAAAAGCGACAGATGGTGGCGGCCATATTGTTAGTAGTCAGCCAAGACAGGAGCATTTTAGTCAGATGATCATACAAGAAACAACAGGAAGTATAAATACATAGAGAACAGAGATTATCATTTGCAATGTCTTCACAGGTTGTAATCATTTAAAGATGTATCAATCATATTGAGAACAAGGTTTATACAGAAACGAAGCAAGATATATGTAGTTTAGGAACCAATAGAAAATGCATATCAAGTTGGAAAAATGGAAAGATATGTTCTATTATGAACAGGAAGAGACTGAAATAAAGTTTGCTGTGTCTCCAGTCAAGATAAGATGATGCAAGAGATGGTGATGACATACAGGATTCTACCTACTATATGCCCAGTTCCAAAACACATCTACATTTTCAAAACAAAATTTAGTTTATAGTTTATTTTCATTGTCACCATCAGAAGCAAAGGTAATCGCTAATAAGCACCCTCCCTTAAATTTTGTTATGGGCCAGGTCCAAATCAGAAATATGGTAGATCTGTCCTTGTACATCACCGCTTCATCCTTATACAACAACCTTGCTTTAGGAAGGTCATGGCTATCAACGTTACTCAAACTTATGTCTCCATGCAAATCATTGCGAGCTGATGAGAATGAAATATATATATTATTCTTGGGAAGAGGTATCACTGAGTCTCTTAAAGAGGATCTAGGCTCCAGTAGCCAAGTCTAGCAGTGATTTGGTGATTATTTGTGCCTGGTTTGAAATTAAGACATTGTCTCCTGGCAGTGATGGCAAAAGTGAAAATTTAGGTCTTTGGGAAATCCTGATGATCTGTTTTTCTATATGTGTCTTTCAATGACAAAATGTCAAGGACTTTTTTCAAATTTAAGTTTTCTTTTCATAACATATTCCATGAAACGACACTGTAGGTTAATTACCGTACTTTGGACCACGAAGACGGCAGAAAGGTTTGGAGTTTTGAAAGGATTACAGTATAGACAACAAGGAAATAGATGACGACAATACTCCATTTCCCATCCATCCCCTACTCGTTCAGTCACAGAACTTTCCCAACACTACCAACTCTCAACTTCCGTACAAATTAGTTAGCTTCCTCTTTCATAAATTTCTACCTTACCAATGCGAAATTGTCTCATTATGATCCATAAAAATATCAGATATTGCTTAAAAGTATTTTGAATACATTGAGGTCAACACCCAAACAAACTTATGACACAGTATTTCATTCTAAATAGAACACTGACTAAGATTTTCGAGTGAGATTTTCTTCTGTAATTTGAAGTCGCAAATCCTAATCTTATACAATCAAATGAAGTACCAAAATAGCTAAACAAGGACGTAGTACCATATACAATAGAAGACCTTATCTGAATTATGCCTTCCAGTAAACATTTCTGATCGTGAGAATCAGTCATTAGTGACTGCAGACTGCTTCAACAGACGGAACTCTCTTCGCCTTGGGATCATATGTAAAACATTACTGATATCATCAGGCTTTGGGGTATTCTGTTTTATGATAGTTTCAAACAAAATCTTGTCCTCAAGACAATTGTTAACATAATATATCTCCACCTGTAGGTAACACTAGTCATGTTTGTTTGTTGTTTAACGCCTCACTCAGAAATATTCCAGCTATATGACTGCGGTCTGTAATTTAATTTTATTTAAAGTCTTGACCAGACAATCCAGTGATTGAAAATAAGAGCTTCAATCTACACAATTGGGATACGATGATGTGCATCAACCAAGTCAGTGAGCCTGACCACCCGATCCCGTAAGTCGCCTTTTACGACAAGCATGGGTTGCTGAAGACGTATTCTACCCCGGAATCTTCACAGGTCGTTTGAGGGTGTGACATTTATGGGTGTGTACTATATAATCAAAACATTTTTCACCAATGATCGTTAATACTCAAGGTGATGGTGAAATGTAGTGTAAAATTATATTTTAAATATTGAAGTATTCCCTATGGTGAACATTGCACAACTCATTCATGTACAGTTATCCTGACTTCAACTGAACATCATAACTATTTACACTGTACCAATACATATCACAATACAGACATATACTACTCATAAAAAGTGATGGCATGAAAGATTAACTATAGTAATCTTGAGGTCCTTAACCTTTTTTGAGTGGTATACATACTGCTGAATTTCTTCACTGACAATACACATCTACAGTTTTGTATATTTCACCGACATCAGAGCACCTTAGTACCAGGTTACAGTATCTAGCCAACAATCCTTATTATTCTCCACTTTGCTCAATCAATGTCACTGTTATCATAGTCAAGACAAATTTTCTTTGCAAAAGGCAATATCATGAAATAGATGTTGTAAGGGTTGACAAGGTTAATATCCTAAAAAAAAACAATTTGACATGAAGTTGTGTTTTTTTTAAACAAGCCTTTTTTATAAATTCAACAAAGAATTATATTTTCATACTTTTTGTTTACCAAAAAAACATTTAGTGCAGGATTGTCTGAAAAACAAAATGAATTTGTTAGGTATTATCCATAAACAAGACTGACAAACACTTTTCAGTTTGTGAAGGAAATATTGGGAGAGATAGTAGAGGAAAATTTAATACACTTTCCTACCTGTTTTTCCTTTTGGGCATTCACAGAAGAAATAGCCCACTCTGTCCCTACAGGTGCCCCCATTGTAGCAGGGACTCTCCTTGCAGTCATCGATGTTCTCCCCACAGTCTGTTCCATTCCAGCCATTCACACAGATACACTGGTAGCCCCCTGGCTGGTTCATGCAGGTGGCACCATTACGGCAGATGCTTGGCTGTTCCAGACACTCATCAATGTCGATGTCACAATATGTGCCTGGAATGCAAGGTAGAATGTAAGTGTCATGTTTTTCTTTGTTTGTTTTTTTGTTGTTTAACGCCACACCCAGCAATGTTCCAGATATATGATGGCGGTCTGTAAATAATCGAGTCTGGACCAAACAAACCAGTGATTGACATCATGAGCATTGATGTGCGCAATTGGGATCGATGACATGCATCAACCAAGTCAGCGAACCTGACCACCCACTCCCATTAGTCACCTCTTATGACAAGCAGTCTTGCCTTTTACGGCAAGCATGGGTTGCTGAAGACCTATTCTAACTTTGAAATACCAGTATGAAAATAATAAGACATTGTCAAATAGCTGACATAAGCCTTTTTGTCTTTCTTACAATTGCAAGTTTTGGATTCTTGACATGATTAAGTACATAAGCATGGCTAAAATGTTTGTAATGTTTTTATCTACATTGATGAAAATCAGCTTGGTGTTGGCGGAAAGACTTGCTTAAATTCAAATACTTGAAAAGCAACCTCTTTGACTCACTTCATCTTTACCTATGCATTTAGTACTTTTAAATGAAACATGTCAAGTTCTCTTTCACATGAATACATCTGCTTTAGGCTTCAGTTCCCCACCTGAGTACAATTTGTAAAGCCATTCTTGGTTGTATCTGACAACTGGTTTGAATACTGCTAAACCATGAGACCAGACTCACTCATAACATTAGAAAAGATTTTCCTGAAAATGTCCAAATATTATAATTGTTGCAGTACAAAGGTTACATGAACTCTGTGAAAAATCAGCACAGTGCAAGCATCTGACATGTTAACTTCGCGCTTTTGTCAAGTAACTGGAGGCATAAAGAAAATAGATGCCCCACGACAAAATACATCCTTATTTTATGATATCTTCAAGACACAAAGGCATTTCAATGATTCTAGCTTACAGGTTATTCATCACTCCCTCAGTAGCAGCACGCTCTACTAAATTTCCTCCGATGACTCAACCTCTCCCGAGTATCTTCATGATTCATCACTCTACAAGACCATAACCCTTACTTTTGCAGGTGCTTGTAACCCAAACACCTAATTTATTTCTCTATCTTTGTGACTCTCTAACCTGCTCCCACGACCTGTTAAAAGTATGAAGATATGTTTCCAAAGGACTCGTTTCGAGAATTTTCATATTCTACATAAAACTATTTTCTCATGCCCTATAATTGGTTGACTGTGGTGTATTTGAACTCAACAACATAAGACGTTTGCCAAGGTTCACTGCCTTCGTGAAGATCAAACTATCAGCAAAGTGAAGGAAGTGATGCAGGCACATCCTTACCTTTGTCCAACTTTCATCCCGTACCTCAGTTTGGCAGAAATTGTTCACTTTCAACACAAACTGATATGGCACAACAGACGCAGACAGCTTGTTCAAATGAACAAACCTTAGCTTTATCTTAACTTAAATACACAAGTCATTGGACTAATTTCTCAGACTCCTGCATATTGATATTCACTCCAAACTCCAAACTATATTTCTCATAAAATATATCTACAATCTTATTCAACTTGAAATGGTAAGTGTCACACCACAATATACTGTTTAACATACAGATGTTACAAATCACAATGTTTGTGCCTTAATATGATTATGATATGAGTACCCTGTATTGATGCAAAGCAACTTGTTTGTTTGTTGTTTAATGCAACACTCAGCAATGTTCCAGGTATATGATTGCGGCCTGTAAATAATTCAGTCTGGATCAGACAATCCAGTGATTGATACTTTGAGCAAGAATTAACTCTAATAGTTTGATTAACTCAAGTTTTCTAAATATATTTTGGTTGGCCAATTCTTCCCTTTGATGATTTAATAACGAGCGTCCACATATAACGTATCATACGTTGTATCATAATGTGATAAGGGTGGTTGGGTAGCCTTGTGGTTAAAGCATTCGCTCATCACGCCGAAGGCCCGGGTTTGATTCCCCACATGGGTACAATGTGTGAAGCCCATTCTGTTGTCCCCTGCCATGATATCGCTGGAATATTGCTAAAAGCAGCATAAAACCATACTCACTCACTCACAAAGTGTACCATTACCTCCTCAGCTGAAATACATCAAAACCATAAACGCACAGAATAACCTTAACAACTACATCAAAACTCATGTTATATATTTTTTTCCATCCCTATTTCATCTATTAATCTAATAAGGCATTATAACAGCATTAATCCCTCTCTATAATTACTTCCATAGGCTGATAATAAGCTCGCACACTTACAAGCAAGCAGCCTATTCACAACAAGTGGGGCAGACAGACCAGTGATGCATAGATAGTTGATCCAATGAGTAGAAGCACACGACATTTATTGACAGGCAAGATGTGAAACAATGTGATCAGTTAATTGATTGCACTTAACGATACAACATTACATAGACAGCATCAATCATGTGTGAAACATATTTCATGTTACGTTGTAACGTACCAGTGTCAGGGTTCACACATACTTCTCTCAACATTGTTAGCGTGAATTAATTATTCTTTTTATTTCTGGCCTCACAGATATCTACACTGTGATCTGCACAAAACAAATTCATTCGGTATCATTTTTGAAACCCTGATATTGCACATGGAATTTGGAACTGAATTATTTACTTCGAAAAATGAAGTGAAATAGAAAAGTAACCACGCTTTAATCCACACGAACACCGATCCTCTAATGGATCATTTCAGCTGTATCTATTTAAGTGCAAGTAAGCTGACATCAGTTTTATGTAGAGAGATAAGCTGGCTGTAAATAATTTACTCTGTGACATCAACACTGCAGGAAAACAAAAGACTTGGAACATGGCAAATATGCCACATTTCCTACTCATGGTCTTCACAGTTCTTGTATTTGCGGCCATGAAGTGATGTAATGCAGAATTGAATAAAAAAATATTTGAAAAAAACACGGAGTAAGTGAGTGAGCGAGTATGGTTTTATTACACTTTTAGCAGTATTAAGCAATATTATGGCAAGGGAAAATAGAAACTGGCTTCACACATTGTACCCATGTGGAGAATCGAACCAAGGTTTTCAGTGTGACAAGCGTACCTGTTAACCACACTGCTAACACACAGCCCCTCAAAACACTCAGTACCCGAACCGTTCCTTGGTAACTGACATAAAAGGACTTTTCAGAGTAAATAAACTGGATTTTATTTTTCCTTTCCAAATCACTTTAAGGTACAAATCCCTTCATCGTATTCATCCCTAACTATGTCACAAACACTGTCTCCCCTTCTCTTAGTGTGATGCCATGTCTTTCAATAGAAGAACCTGTACTCCAGCAAATGAATATTGTATGGCTGTCTGTGATGAATCTTTTGTTTGTCCACAGTTCCGCAGGAGTAGTTCTACAGTCAATCAATAGCACCTCTTTCACAATATCGCAGGTATCCGCGGAATCCCTGCGTGAACAGTAGGTATATATAAATCTTACGCCACTTACCACCACTAACAACAGTCCAAGAATTGCTGCACGCAGAACTGGGCCAAGCTATCTCTTACAGTTCAAGACGATGCCAACAGTTTCCAGGAATTTTTATTGTTGCTTTTCCTAGCGCCTTGTTACTGGCAGAAGTGCATAATGAGTCTACATCAGAGAACATCAGAGAATGGTGTACAGGAGATGGGATGTGTTCTACATGGGGTGTACAAGAACGTCCCATGAATGAGGTTTTGGACTTGAGGGGGTGTTATTACTGAAATTTGCACTGCGTGGCTAAACGTCTTAAGGTAAACTACATTTCAAACATGCCCTCAATCCTGCAGTTCTGCATGTACCGGCTGAGATGGGTACCGTTGGGGTAACACTATTAGGTAGCGTTTCCAATAAAGTGAACATTTAATGATTGACTTACTCCTGGATAGGAACTGAACTGTTGTAATCATAAACTTGCAATGTCCATACAACATTCTTTAAAGCACAAAAATGACTTGGGGCCCCAGCTGTCCTACCCTCCACAAATAGAAAGTTGGGCAGGGTACAAAGAGAGCTAGTGCAAATATTCATCACATCTTTACAACAGACTTCTCAACTCTAAAGCCCATATTTCTATATCCCACACAAACATATGTTATCAATGGAGACGTGTTTCTCCACCCCTAACTTCAATATTTCGATACAAAAGAGGTTGCAAGTCTTGATCTGGATGGGTTCACAGTTACGGTCAAAAAGCAAACTTATCTACATAATACCTCCCTTAATAGTACAAAATTCACTACAGATTGAACAGACAGACATCAATACAGTATGTTCCCCTGCTGTTTGTACAGGCTACCTTTGTAAACAAGATGCAAATTACAATGCTGAAAAAGTGCTATATGTCTAGTGTTTCATTTGACATACAGTATAACAATATCACCCTTTCGAAAAACAGTTCTCCCCATGTTCCAAGAGTCGGAGTGGATGATTAGGAGTAGCTGATCGGCAGGAAGCAAAACAGTTCATGGCCTTCCAGCAAATGTCAACAACCTGACCACCTTGGCGATAGATTTGTAAACTTCGTATTAACAAATAAAGTCCCTCAAAACAGAAATAGAAAATGTTTTAAAAAAATTATACATTTGCGTATGTTGAAATCTTGGCCATCAGATTTAGCAAGTTGTAAGATTTTACAACGCTTTTAGCAATATTTCAGCAGGGGATACCATATTGCCTGCACACCTTGTATCCATGTAGGGAATCAAACCTGGGATTTCAGTGTGAAGAACCCATATTTTACCTACTAGGCCACCCACCCACGACATCAGAGAAACACCCAAGAGCCTCAGAGAAACACCCAAGAGCCTCAGAGAAGACAATGTTAATCCCATAGAGTCAGCGAGTAGTATTTCACAATGATTTTAACAATATTCAGGTCTTAGTGAGTGAGTGAGTGAGTATGGTTTTACGCCGCTTTTAGCAATATTCCAGCAATATTCAATCAATATCACAACAGGGGACACCAGAAATGGGCTTCACACATCGTACCCATGTCAAGAATCAAACCAAGGTTTTCAGCATGACAAGCGAACCTTTTAACCACACAGCCCCTCAAAACACTTAGTATCCAAACACTCAGCTCGCATGGCGAGCGAACGCTTTAACCACTAGGCTACCCGAACGCCCCTGGGAGGGGAAGAAGAGTGCTTCACACATAGCAGTATTACTATCCATGTGATGAACTGACCTTAAATCTTCAGCATATCAAGACAGCCTCAAACATTAGGCTACATCACATCACTTAGTCCTCACAAAAGAAGAAACTTACCTTTATAGGTAGGTGGGCAGCGACAGGTGTAACTGTCCACTCCATCTATGCAGGTAGATCCATTATTACAGCGGTTGTTCACACAGTCGTCTACATTGATCTGACAATTACGTCCTCGGAAACCTGGAAAAGAAAGACAAATATGAAATTATCTAATATTTTCCCTTTGATGGTCACTGAGAAAAGAATTCTTTCATGTTCTAATTAAACACCAAGGATGAAACAATTAACTGAACATTGAGCTGAAATAATGTATACTCGCTTTTGATGAAGATCAAGGATATACATTTGTATGTTTCTGCATTAAATGTCAATCAAACATGGAACTGCAGAAAGAAGTTTAATTTGTACTTATAAAAAACATAAAACAATTTTTTTAATTTAGACAATCATATTTCGTGAGTATTATTTCAAAGATCAAAGGTATTCAAACTGCTCATCACAGGTAGACAAGGGGAAATTCATCATGGCCAAAGTCGCATTATTGGAAGCTTTCGTTACCAACAAGACCTTGTATTTCAATGAATGAAGTTTGATGTTACATAACATCAAACTGATTCAAAACAACAAAGTACCAGAGTAAAAACACCTTTCATAGCCTGGTTAAGAGAACTTGCCCTTGACTTAATAAAGTCAATCAAAATACCGCTGAAAATGCCAAATATTTATCTCGATAAAAATCAATCTTTCTCGATTGTTTGAGCCTTTTATCTGCAGTACACAGGTACTGTTTACCTTCCAACAACTCATCAAGGGGATAAGTATCCCTTATTGGGCCATTTTTCCGATATCTAAATTTGAACTTTTGCCTAGATTTGATTTGACAGTTTTGCCCAAGACTTACAGCTTTGTGTTCTGGGCACCGCAACACAAATTTTGTTGGATTACAAAACCCACGGCTATTTGGCTGTTTACTAAACAAACTCCTCTTGTTTGCATAGGAAATTCTTTGTTCCCCCGAAGAAAATCTACAGTGTGTAGTGATGTTAAACACTGACTTCCTGTCGAAATGTGCCAATGTACTACTCTGTAACAACTAGTTATGAATGAAGAATCTAAATTAGACTTCAAAAATGCTGCATAGTCGATGATTACTATCATAATTAACTAAGATCATTCAATTTCCTTTCTCAAAAATAAGTGTTCCAAGTATTTGACATACACTAAGGTCAATGACAGAAAGGAAAACTTAACACTTTAAGTAAAACAGTTACAGACATTTGAAAATGAATTTTTGTTGATGACCATATGCCATATAACTTTTTACAAACATTTTCAGAACAGAAAATTACTTTATCCTAGAATAAGTTTCTAAAGAGGTTTGAGACAGTTTTAAAGTTAACACAAACAACAAACATTCAATGGTCTTTAAAGAACACATACAGGTTCTTCATTATGTAAATCACCAATAATTATTCAACAATTAGAAGAAATGGTTCAATGTCAAACAGCAATGATACAGCTTGTCATTGCAAAGTCATGTATCTAACAGACATATATGTGTGTTTTGGACATAGAAGGCTAGAGTTACAAAGCCAATCATTATTACTTAATAATATTTCTAGCTATCTGATTGGCCTATTGCTGTTTAGTAAAAACCTGCACAAGTCAGCCAAGTAAACTGGTAAACTTTTTAAACCCAAGAGGTCTGCTGAAGAATCTTATATAACTAGATCTCATTTCCACAAGTAGAGTCAATGCAAAGAATTTGTTTTAAGTTAATAAATGTGTACCTTGTACAGGCTGACTGTAGAAGACTATTTAGCTCTAACCAAAGGTCTGAGGGTGCACAAGACCATTCAGCTCTAATGAAGGTCTAAGGGTGCACAAAACCATTCAGCTCTAATGAAGGTCTAAGGGTGCATAATACAATTCAGCTCTAATGAAGGTCTAAGGGTGCATAAGACCATTCAGCTCTAATGAAGGTCTGAGGATGCACAAACCATTCAGATCTAACTTAAGGTCTCAGGGTGCCGATGACCGATCAGTTATGACCAAAGGTCTAAGTGTATACCAGACCAATCGGGTCTGTCTAACAAATGTCACAGGCTGTACAAGACCACTTAGCTCTTACAAATGATCTAAGGTTCTCTGACCCCATTCAGCTCATGAAAACCCAGTACACCCTGCTTGTGACATATGTCTTTCACAGTATCTTGAAGACAGATCTATTGGATACGGCACAAACACAGGAGTATGTTTATCAGCCAAGGCATCTGACGAAGTCCACATTTTCCCAAGCTAGGACTGTAATGTAGCTATTTTTCTTATTCAAACATTCTCATCTCATTATAAGAACTTACGCTGAGCACATCTCAGAAACCATACAAGCGATCATGAGTCACTATAGTACAGATGGCAAGAAGGGAAGAAGACACAAACGACATGTTTGCCCCGATTAAACATTCCACCAGTCAAGGTGAACATGACGAGAGACGATTGCTTTAAACACCAAGTTCTTTGGGTAGAGTTAAGCAACAAATCGTGCAATTCCCCAGGTGTTTTCTTAAATGTTGTCCGAGACTGCTGTGAATTTCTTGTTGTCAGTCACAACGCCAATATGTAAATGGACAACGTTTTGACGGGGCACGATCAGTCCTCCTTCAATTTGTCTGTCATTGCCATTGGAACCCTCATTAATCCAATACAACCGACCGATACATTCACAAACACGGCATTCATCACGCTCTTTGTGACTCCTACAGAGTGTGTCTGCTAACATAGTTTACATTTTAACAGAATATATCAGATCAAAAGACTTTTATGTTTGCTTGCTAACAATACGAGTGAGTGAGTGAGTGAGTGAGTGAGTGAGTGAGTGAGTGAGTGAGTGAGTGAGTGACACTACAACAAGTAGTGTTAGCAAACATAAAAGTCTTTTGATCGGATATATTCTGTTAAAATGTAAACTATGTTAGCAGACACACTCTGTAGGAGTAGGAGTTTTATACCACATTAACAAATTGTTCATACCTTGTTGCTTAAGTGAATAGTGCTGCAGTAACTAGCAAATATGTCTTACAACATTCGGGCACACTTTTTATGTTACATGTTTCCAGACTTTTGCAAACATATTAGCAGGGGTTGGTTGGGATATAAACAAAAAACAAAATATGTCATGAACTTGTTTGGTCAGTCTACTTAGTTGGTAAAACTGCAATGTTTTACTGTAATGTAACCTGTATGTACTTCTGGGAAAATTAAATTCAATCAATTATTATTTGGAAAGTTAAACCAATTTTCACCCTGTGTGTTTTTGGTTGTACCTCTTTATTTTTCTGATCTATCAAACATGAATAATAAGGAAAATATATTACATTTCTGACTGTGTCTTTTAACTCCAGTCAGTCGAATATGTAAACCGAAATAAAACAAATGTCCCCAAACAAAAACCAACCCCACACAGCGAATGTTAACATAGTGTGACACATCCACTCCTACACAGATCTGTGGTTTACATGACCATGTTGTCCTTCTCCATCACAGCCTAATAATCCAGGTGACTAAGTGCGTCACTACCCTCTATAATTCCCAAGCCCCAAATTATGAAAAGCTGCAGTGAAAAGCTGTGGGCTTGAACAGTCACGATCAATGTGACAGCAATATCGTGTTGTTGTGAAAGCATGTAGTTCGAAGGACTGAGCATGTCAAGAGTACGAAATAATTGGTCACCCTCATTCTGAAACTGCTTATAGGTACACGGTACTTGCTAAAATGTAGTGCCATGTCATGACTGCTGTACGTTGATAGGTGTGCTTGTTATTAACTATTGCATTAAATGGTCAGTCAACAGTGAGTGAGTCTGGTTTTATGTAAAGTTTATCAATATTCCACCATCACAAGCACAAATAATACATCAAACTCTCACATATAATAAATATGTATCTTGTGTACATTATGTAGTAGTTTATACTATGAAAAAAACCATAACTAGAGCCCCTGACTATCAAAATGGACACTGCTGATCATGCTTGATAATTGACCACCAAGGTATTTTTGCGTAAATATTTTGTAAACACCTTGCCCATCTTTATTACCTGATTTCTATGTTGGGAGAGGTATTCAAATAAGCTCTGTCTCGTTAACATATCCAAATTTTCAGTTGAAATAAAAATCATGGACTTTGATCATTGCCTCTGTGGAGGATAAGACAATGTCTTTGGAGAATGCTTTTACTGAGCATCCCAGTGTCATGCCATATGATTTATTTTTTTGTTTGTTAAACACCACACTAAGCAATATTCCAGCTATATGACAACGGTCAAGTTGGGACCAGACAATCCAGTGATTGACATCATGAGCATCGATCCACATATGATGACACGCATCAACCAAGTCATCGAGCCTGACCACCCAATCCCATTAATCACCTCTTACGACAAGCATAGTCGCCTTATACGGCAAGCACGGGTTGCTGAAGACCTATTCTACCCTGGATCTTCACGGATCTCATGGCCTATGAATAAATGGTCATGTTTGGATTCATTTATCATCCTGAAATGCTTGGTGTGCAAATGTCTTCTCAATAACAGTCATGGCAACGTACGGGTCCTGATCAGAATAACGGGACCTTGATATCAGATAATTGGCCCTGATGGCCGTACTGGTTGAAGACAATCAACTCGGACAATGATATGACCATAAACTTAATACCCTTAGGTTAAAGGCCATATTTCAAATCAAATTGATTTTATGATACATTCATTTTCAATACATCCATTTTTGTCAATAGTTGGTTGGTTGTTTGTTGTTTAATGCCACACTCAGCAATATTCCAGCTATATGACTGTGGTCTGTAAATAATCAAGTCTGGTCCAGACAATCCAGTGATGGACATCACGCGCATGGATCCACATATCTAGTCTAGATGGCTGCAGAACTATGATGCCTGGTTGTGCATTTGGTTCAAATGGTGCCTGTAAGCAAGGAAACTATTGTACTTAAAATACGAAAACGTTCAGGGTGTACTGAACATTCATAATAGTTCAGATCAGAACTTTTCAGCCACCCTTTGTAAATCGTGAACATAACCGGTGAACAAGACACTTTCAATAGATATAGGTAAAAAATAATCTCAAGAATTATGTAATACATCTATTGGAATAAAGGACTTCAATCAACTA